CGAATAACGGCCATCATCCTTTGACCGAAGCCATTTGGCTGCGAGAAACTAAATAAAAGAGATTTTAAACTCCTTAGCTGATGTTTCGTTTATCTTTGTATTTCGCTTTACTCGCTAAACTTAAAATTTGGCAGACCACAGAGACGTACTCTCCCCAGACCTTTTCAGTCACGGCAGCCGTAGTAGCACCAGCCATAGTGATTTGCTTAAACTACCTATTTCCTAGATAGCAGATCCAACCATTTGTTAAAGCAAAAGTAACAATGGAGTGCAATGCTACAAGTGAACTACGTACAAATAACTGTTTACTGACTCTTCAAGCTTGTTTACTGAGTGCAAATGACCACCCTTAAGTGATTCTAACTTTGGCCTCAGAGTGCAAATGTCTGAGAGGTAGACCAAAGGAGACCTGGAGAATAGTAGAAAAGAAAAGGGCAGAGTTTGGCTTAAACCTGATGTAACACGAGGATTAGTGCAGAGAACCAAGAAACTTGGCGAGAGTGAAAGAAAGGACAAAAAGATGATGATGATGATGATTTTGACTCTCCGAGCTAACATGATTTGACATCATATTCAATGTAACAAGCCATGCCATTGGCTCTTTCATGCTCATAGGCCAAGTCATAATTTAATACAATGTATGGTACACTTATTTCTAGGAACAAATTTTACAACTAGTATTCAGGACCGGTCATAACCAGACAAAAATTTTGATCGAGGCAATATCAGAAAAAGAACAAGAACAGTCCTTTTGTGGGTATTTATTTTTTTAGTACACTGCCTCTTACAGGATCCTAAGTAACAAAATAACTTTAAAATTTTAGCGAGGCAAGTAACTCAGTTCCCCTGTTAGGATAATTTAGAATTCATAACATTATAATATTATTTTGCCTTGAAAGTTAGGTTTCACCAGCCATAATGACATAGATACATGGGAGAAAGATGCAAAGAGTAGTTTGTAGGAAGTGAAAATTCCTTTACTAAACACTAATGTGTTACTGACTGCCAGTGAATAAAAATAAATCTCACTACCACTAACTTTAGAATCCTAATTCAAACAATTTTAACTTTAATTTACACTATTATGTTGAGAGTATAGTTTTTACCGAAGGGAAGGGAAAATAATTGCCAGATCTGATTATGCAAAAGTTTCGAGTTTAAGCCTGTAATTCTAATATTTCAGGTTTCCATTGACCGAATTAAAAAAAATGCGAATCTAATCTAACAAACAATCTAAGTCGAGGTCAATATTAAGTTTCTAAGCTTATATTAATTTTGTAAACGTGCACTTCACCAATAAAATGCCGAACTACTAATGTCACAGAATGGAATTGAAATTTGTTGACAGATAGGTTAAATCTTCCTGGAGTGATTTACGGCGAAGTACATCGTTCGTGATCTCCTGTAGACAGAAAACACTCAGAATGGATTAAGCTTAACCTACAATTCTTGGTAGAGCCGGTAAAACCTATAAGCTCTTACTTAAGTTCAGTTGTCGATTGTATGGCTTTAACTTAAAAAATTCAAACGCTACAGCTTCTAGCTTCACGGGTTAATATAAAGTGCCTCTTAGTGGCCAGAAAAACATTTATTTCTGACCATCGACTATAAAACATACGACTATAATCGATAATTAAGCATATCGTATCACATGATGCTGAAATGTACAATTTGATCACGCTCAACAGAATTGTCACAATCCAGTACAGCAAAACTTGTGGTAAAATGGCTGAATTAAAAGTCTCTACAGTGCAACAGTTCAGAATGCAATAGACTTACCGCGAATTGTTCTACGGTGATGGATATTTGACGTATGTATAATCCTTCCACAGTGTTTTCGAAGTCGAAGAACCCATCATTGTGCGTTCTAAGGGCTTGGCAGCCGCGCCTTACTTAAATCATGTGCCTGCCTTCCACGCGTGTGAGCAATTTCTCGCGGGTTTCGGCCCGCGATAAAATTGTCCACGTTCTTCAAATTTTTATGTCTTTTCAGTATTATTTATTTAGTTTAACCGGAATTGGAAGAATATTTCGCTACCTTAGAGTAAAAAAAGAGGAGCTTCAGGTTGAGTTCATTCAGAGCTAGTCAAAGAGAATGTTGAAAACGTGTGTGAGAGGGACCATAGGCCAAAGAGGTACCGCGGCGGGCACAAAAGCGCTTGAAGATGGAGCCGAATGATTTCAACCGACTTACGATCAGGCCTATCGACCCGGAAGTTGAAAAGCAGCTGCCCACCCCCATCTATGTTGTTAAATTTCCCCTTGTAAAGATAAAGCAATCCCTCTATAGCATCCTTTACCACAGATCAATAAAAATCTTGAGGTTCATGATGGGACACCTGTGCGCGCCGAGGCTGGAATGCATTAGGGAGTTTAAGAAACCACGACGCGACGCCGAGGACAGCGTCGATTGAAAATGACTTTATATTTACCTACGAATCTCGCGATACTCTTAAATCATTTTCCTTTGTTTCTCTGTGTCAAAACTTTCACGAAAATGAATCTGGGACAGCGCGAAACATTTGAAATAAAAATAAAAATAAAATTAGCCGCCGTGGTTCACGTTCTCCGGACAACGCAGAATTTGGTCACTCACGTTGCTTTGTAGAGGACGGCAAAGAAATATATCATGAATTATAACGCTCGCGCACGATGCACAGCCATTGTTCTCCTCATTAAACCTTTTGTTTAGCGACGATGCCGTCGCCGTTGCCGTCGTTGTTTTCTTCCCTTTATCAGGTCAAACACCATTAAATTTGCTGGGTAAAAAATTCATCAGTTTTGGTACAGAGCCTTCTTATAGAAGAAGGAAGGCTCTAGCAGGGGTAAGAGAAAATCCTGAAGGATCGCAAAATAGATTGTTCCGGTTTATAAACTGGATGCAACATGGATGTGATACCGGCTGTCTTAGCTGTGAAGACCGCGAGACAAGAACCCTACAGCTGAGATCAGACATGCCATTTCCGGTAAAATGAGGTAGAAGGCCAGCAAACTGGATCAGGGTAACCTTTTTCTTGATAACATAACTCCAGACTGTTTTGTACACCGTGGACATCTGCCATAAAAAGGCGGCGTAAAGCGTGACCTTTAGGTGTATAATCAAAACTGAATGTAAGGTCGAGGACTGGAAGGCCAGGAGGAGTGGTCTATTGAGGCCAATATTTCGACTTAGAAAATAAGTCTCTCTCAACTGGCCAGGGCTATGTTGAAATAAAATACTATAACGGTTTATTTAAGGTTTAATAACTTCAATAGACCGCCCCCTCACTTTTTCAGGCTGCCAGCCTTACATTCAGGGAAAAAAAGAAAAAAAAAAATGATTAAAACAAGGTGGGGGAGGGGCAGGGGGTAAAAAAGCTAGCATGACCCGGTTGATTGAACATGTAAAGTAATAAACGCAATAATAAACGTAGTTAGCTTTTAGAGTTTTACCCTCTTTAAACAAAAAATGATTTTGCGTTGTTAATACCGTGGAAGCTACACGAGAGTTTTGAATTAGCTAAATGACAATTTAACTTAACTAATGTTGCCATGCCAATCGCAGTGCTCCTACCCTCCACCACAATTGATTTGGTTCCACTGTGTTTTACATGTAATTGTGCCTTTATTATTATTTTTCTTTATTATGTTCTAGCTTTTACCTATATAATTATCAGCTGCTGCGCCTGGAACTGTTTTGCGCAAACAAAATATTGTTTCGATGGCAACGTTCACGTTTCGGTAAGAAAACCGGGAGAAATAAAAGTTTTGGTAATCAACAATACAAAAAGCTCTGCTTTCTAGCTAGTAAAAGTTGAAGTCGTTGAACGGCCAAACATCTTTATAGTCAGGATCGGATCATCAAGGTCATTCTTTCCCTGCAGTAGACCTGAAATTTAGTCATGGATAAATCTAATGCAATACTTATTCATTATTTTCAATTCCATACAATGCGAACTTTTTCCAAAGGGTAAGTGAACTCATCGCTCGAAACAACATTTGCCTATGCAGCCATCTGAAACAAAAAACAAAACAAAACTGAAACAAAAATTGACTGAGTCGCAAGACTTGCTAGCGTTTTCAAACCTGAGGAACGGAGAGTTTCTCGCCCGCTAGTCGCGAGAAAATTGGGGAGAGAGCTTGTCGAAGTGGTGGAGCGAGCGAGGTTAGAATGTGGAAAAAAGCGGGAAGAAGCTCTTTCGTTTGGACCGTAGCACTTGCTATGCAGGCTAACTTCCCAGGCCGCCGGAGAAACAACAACAACAAAAAATAGATAAATAAATAAAATAAAAT